CCGCTACACATCTTTCCATTCCTCTTCCTCTTTTCATCCAAGAAGTTACGGACTACTTTTCACAGTGAGGGGACCATAGTTGACCGCATACCAACGAAGGAATTCTAGAAGCTGGCCGTGGCTCTTTTCTGTCCTGCGTAAATTGAATTAAACTGAATTGTATGTAGGGATTGTTATACGCGAGGGTCCCTCCAACAGGCCACGTGCCAAATACTTTCACTAAAAAAACGAACCATTTCCATTTACTTTGTTTTTTGGTGCGATAAATCCAGTTTGGTGGTCATCAGTGGAATTCTGTCTTTATCACTTTACGGCCATTAGTGTTTTAAACATCAATGGTCGCAAACTGGACTTCCTGATATTGGTTCTTGAATCAGCCGCCAATCCTTTTGGCTAGTGTGCATTTAGGTTTTTACTGCTGGCGTATTTCTTGTAAGTTTGGTGATGTAGTGTTTATTTTATGATGTGCTATGTGCAGTTGCAACCATATTTTATCCTTTGGCTTTAAAATATTATTTTGTAACAGCCTCGTGCGATATGTGTATCTTGTTCAGTGTTTTGCACGTAACATTTAGTTGTCTATATATTTTTCAAAGGAGGACAGAAGTTCCTAAAGGGTGGGCTGTTATTTATCAATTATAGAGGTTCACACAATGCTAAATTTTCGTTTTTTTTCTCACTTCTGATTGCACTTTATCGACCAGTGCATGCAGTATGGAATCATTTTCCATTTCTGGCAAAAAATCCCCTTGTCACAGTACATTCTATTGAACAATTACGTTTTCATTCTCCATCACAAATAAGTAGTCGTCAAATTCCCGAGAGCTATTTCTAATACGGCTTGTAGTTTTTTAAATCTGGGTTAACATTTGGCCACGAAATATAGAGTGAGCCCGAAATGTCACCAATTTCGGCACTTAATTCATGCCCTCAGGACACCAATCTCTGGGAAAAATGATGAGTGAAGAACTTCAGCATAATCAGTGCCCATTTGGTTTTTTCTTTGTCTTGGCAGTCATAGTAAAACCATGGTAATTCCTCATATAGGATGTAGAGGGCCAGGACTATTTAGCGATCTAATGATAAAATCAGTTACAGCAGTTCGAAGCATCTCTCGAAATGCCCAAGCTTTACCTAACCGCCCAATGATTCATATTTAGCAACGCCTTCTTGAACGAGGGGCAGAAGCTTTCAAGGTACAGTTCAGCCGGCCCCTGTCGACACTAACCCTCACAGTTCCTACATTAACTAGACAAAAACTACCGACTGATTTCGGTCCTCCATCTGAAACGGAGGTTACCCGGAAAATCAATTGCCTCAAAAGGTCCAAAGCCTCCGGCCTGGATGGACTGTCCGCATCGGTTTATAAGGACGGAGGATCAGCCTTCGTTTTGAATTTAATGTGGGAGATGGAACAGGTTCGAACTGAATGGTGTGAATCGGTCATCTTACCGATTTACAAGGAATGTGACAAGTCCTCTTGTGAAAACCACAGAGGAATTAGTTTAATCAACATAGCCTCAGTGAAGTTTGCTTCACTGTATTACGCTGTACAATGATGATGACAGCCTTTAAACTGCTCGCTGGTATCATATTCCGTCGATTGTCTGCCGCACGTGAAGTGTGCACGCGTGCGAATCAGGGTGGTTTTAGACCTGGTCGAGGTTGTATCGACCACATCTTTGCTCTTCGCCAAATTATGGAGCACCGAAATTCTTTTCGTAGACCCACCATCTCTGTCTTCCTCAATCTGAAAGGGGTTTTCGACTCAGGCGACCACTCTAAACTCTGGCACTGCCGTTCCCTGAAGGGTGTGCCCGAGAAGTTTATTTCAATTCTGCAATCCCTTTATACTAACAGCCGAAGCCGATCCCCAGCTAACGGTTGCTTTTCACCCGAGTTCACTACGGAAGGTGGTGTTCGTCAGGGTTGCCTTCCGTTTCTATTCAACTTTGCTTTAGGTTTAGTTCTGTAAACAACCCTATCATCCGAGTATGGTGGCATCGATTTACTCCCATGTTTCATACTGTCTGATCTAGAGCATACAGACGACATTGTGCTGCTAAGTGAAGATCCAGGTAAGTTGCAAGCTTTTCTGGATAACTTGAGCGCCAGTGGGGCCATGTTCGGTATGCGTTTTTTTACCTTCAAAGGGCAAAATGCTACTATTAGACTGGGTTGGTCCAGTACCCAGACTCACTCTAACTGGGGAAGTAGTAGAGCAAGTAGATAAGTTTTGCTATTTGGGCGGCTATATCACCCGGTGGACGCATCAAAGATAGTGTCAGCTCGCATACAGAAGGCTCGGTTGGCATTTGCCAACTAGAGGCATCTGTGGCGGCGTCACGACATGCTGCTGTCTGTCAAGTGTCGGGTGTGTACCGCGGCAGTTTGACTGCTATACCGCGTGGAGACTTGGCCATTGAGAAAACAGGTGGAAGATAGACTGTGGGTGTTTGAGCACCGCTTTCTACGTAGCATTGCACGAATCTGGTAGGGCAGACGGACGAGCAATGCTGAGGNTCATAACTTTGGTTGCCACGGTGAGCGATATTCGCCGAGGCAGATAGTGGGTGAAATAGAGCCAAGGGTGGTCAAGCTAAGACCTGGCATGAGGGTACGAGAACCCTAACCAAGAGTCTAGGTCCTGTTAGGCCTCCTGGCTAGGGACCTCAAAACAGTCGTAACGGGTGGTTGGAGGCACTGAATAATATAGCTGAGTGTCGTAAACTGGCGTTCGTTCATCTCAGTTTATTGTGTCCATGGTTTACTGGAGTTTTCCATTTTCCATTCGACTCTACTTTCAACCTTCCTGTCTTTCTTCTACTATTCATCCAAATCGGCAGCCAAAACCGGCGCACGAAAGTGCATGGTTATTGGTTGTTCAAACTGAAGCTGAAATTATCGTCTGCTTCGGTTCTTATGCTTGATGGTCAATTAGTTTTAATGGATTGTTTCTCCTACTTATGTAGTTACGTGACAATTGACGGTAGCGTAGTCAAGGAAGTAACCCTTCACAATCGCAAGGCTACAGCAGCTTACGCAGGACTGAAATACCTTTGGTGCAGACAAGTTTCCTTGTAACTGAAAGGTTGTGTATACTACACTAGTGTGTGGTCAGTTCTGCTGTACGGTTGCCAGACCCTTAATTTATGCGTATAAGATATTGTCTAGAAGTCTTGGATTGCCTATGTTTACGTAGCTTGGCGTGGGTTGGATACGGCGAGTGTGTAAGTCGTCGTATTTGGTACTGATTCCGTGGAATATTCGTTATCAAAGATTTCAGATGCGTCGGCTTCGCTGGTTAGGACGCGTATTGTGCATGCCCAGCTATCGTCTACCTCATGTTATTCGCAGTGGCGGCTCCTGGTAGGAGGAAACCACATGGAGTTCAATAGATGGCGTGGAAACGGGGCTAAACATAAATCATATGTATATATTATATTTCACACACGTCTGACACCAGACTGTCTGCCAAACAAATCGTGGTACAATAATGTTCATAAAAAAGAAAAACGCGCCATGATTTGCATGTGGGCTGAATACGGTCAGGTTGCCCAGGCCAAGGTAGGTGAATTATCTTGAGGAATCCACAACCAGAGCCTTCGACTAGTCAAAGCCTGACCCGCAAGGCAGCGGGGCGGTGTGCGAAAACCGCAGTTCATTGGGAGCCGGTTTCCAGTTCATCGAATCATACGTCGGACAGGGTCAAATGTCTAAGGTTCCCAATACACCTGGATGCTCAATCGAGCGGGTGACCACTGCCACAACCTGGAAGGTGTGTGGTTCGTGCGCCTCTTGGTTGGTTTGCAATCATGGTTTTTGGCCAACTTCCCTTGGTGAACTACCGGTGGTTCATCAATCCGGTTATAGCCCCGGATGTCGGCTTTTGGTCATCTCACTTTGGTGGGAAGACACCACGAGAAGGCACTAAGTAGGGCTTCCTCAGTAGAGGCTATTTTGAGTCGCTTGGTCATGTGGGTGCATTACGCGAGGTGCAAGGGAAGGGTGACCAGCCGCAACCCCAGGCACCCACCCCGGACCATACTGAGGCTTTCGAAGGCCGTAGGTACGCCAGATCCAGCATCCACATAGCTTGCTGGAATGTTGAGGCTGCTAGGAATAGGAAACCAGTGCAATACAATGCGTTCACTTCACGACTGCAAAGTAGGCAGCCTATTTGGTGACATGCGCAACACAACCCGACCACCGTAGTGTATGGAGGTCGATCAGTTGTTCCAGTGGACGATCGTGGCTACTGAACACTGCGCCTGATCTCAGCATTGCTTGTCCAGTTTCCCCACCAAACTCCTGCATGCGGTGTTTGAACACTGACAATCAATTTTTATCCTGTTCCCGTATTCGCCAAGTCTCTGCACCTTTGTGCAGGACTGACTTAACTGCTGCAGCATATACTCGACTCTTCACAGGCAGCCGGATGTCGCGATGGCCTCACAGNCAGGTTGGCTTGGATTTGTTTAACACTCATTCTGGGCTCAGGCATACGTGAAAATATAAATGTACGTATTGTATACTTGAAAAGCGGGTCTTCGTGAATACAGGGTTTACTCCGTCCGCTGTTCATCACACGAATGCGTATAATTCAAAGAATATACAATTAACAATCTCCCAAGGAGTGAAACCCACAGAACATCACCAACAGTGCCTGGTGCCTGTGGAAAACCGAATGGGTTAACCCAAACATTCACCATCTAAATATGCTTCTCTGATTAACTGCATAACTGAGGTAGGCTTTATGCCTACAAAAATTATCACAATACAATACAATACAACCAGTTGAAAGGGAAACAACACTATGATATAAAGGGGATGGCTATGCAGAAGACATCTATTATGAGGTTGTTTTTGGTCTTGTTCGTTGTTCTTTTATTAATAATCTTATAGCTGTTGGGATATGCACTACCCGATTATTTTGCGTCGGCTTGATCTATTGTCACAATCAATAAATTGTTCCGGTTGATGTATTTCAGATTTTCCCGATGACGGAGTTGGGCTCTATAGCCTCTTCGGCGAGCCAAGGTGTCCCTGTCGGATTTTCAGAGACCGGTCCTCGAAAAGGAGCTCCGAAGATCTTTCTTATCAAAAAACCTCCCCCGGTAAGCTCAAGGTTGCCATAAAAGGTTTCTGTTTGGTGAGCAATGACGATCGCACTTATACATTATTTTTATCATTTCCCTCTGTCATTTTCTTTAAACACTGCCTCCTAACTGTATGCTGTGCACTTCGGGCGTGCCATCGGTTCTTTATACTCCACTTAATCATATTTCCTTCTTCAATACATGTATTAAAAAGCTGCGTGAACTAGTGTACTCATTTATACGATAAATTAGGCTTATTGTAATTTGTACTTCGGATGTATGTGCTCACTTGAATTGGTAAAAACTCAGTCATTTGAGGCAAAAGGTTTTAAAATGATCAATTTTTTGTTCCGCACCAGTCGATTCACTGATCTCTTCATCCTCCCCCTTTTACACTGAGCTCGAGTGCTACCCACCCATTAAAAACTAACTATGGGAAGGAGCTCGTTCTTTTGTTCTATCTCTCCTGGTTCAGATTCCGTTTTCGACGATCCTTCACTTCTCGGTCCTTAGGTCATTGCCGGACAGTTCTTTCCTTATCTTTCTTTTACCGTGAGCGTCATTAGTTGTACTTTTCTGAGATGGGTTCTGCCAAGCCTGGCTTCCAAGCCAGTCTCTAGCACAAACCACCGGCTTTTCTTACCAACTGACTGTACTTAAACATGTTTTCCAAGAACTAGCAGATTTTATCACTTTGTTTCCCTCGGTTTTCCCCTTAACCTAACCTTAGCCTAACCTTTTCAAAAATAGGCTCAATAACATCCTCTTTCACCTCAGTCTTCATTACACGGGGTTTACCTCTTTACTAAACCACTAACCAACATTCAGGTAATAAGAAAAAATACATGATGGTGAAAAATCGCAAGCAAGCTGGTATTCACAGATTAACAAGTGGTCTGATGCAATTTATTGTTATTTTTTCATGACCATTTTCTTTCATTGTGTGGTTGTGAACCACGCAAACCAAGCTTGGTCGACATCCTTTCTTATTTTACAATATGTCACACAACTGTTAGGCGTAATTCAAGGTTAGGATCACAGAATCTTTTTTTGCTATACTTTTTCCGCTATACTTTCCGTTTCCTTTTTGGGTTTATCAAGCAGAAACCTCGCGTCCCAGTCCCAATTGAAGGCCTTATATGGTCTCGCAAACGCCCATCAATCTTACAGAAAACCCCGGGAAGCTCTACGCCAAAATCAGGTAACTTCCATTGTTTAAAGAGTCAAAATTTGTCCAAACAAATTTCTACATTTTGTTTAGGGTTACATATTGCCGCGGTGTTTGTGTAGTACGGATGAAATTCTTGTTAGTGTGCTTTAGACGGCTTCAAACGAATAATGGACATCATCGGGCGACCTCTAGTTTTGGTACACTTTTTACAGCTCCAATCCCTATTGGTCTCATAGTAGATCCAAGCTCTGCCAAACACTGCTAGCTTACTTTAGACATTACATTGTGTTGGCGTGTTTAGTTCACATCAATCAAAATGCCGACCCAACTGTAAGCACCATAACCTTTGACACTACCGATTATTTTTTGGTTTCAACCGATTTCTTTGACTTACACCTTGGTCATCAAACAGTTCAGGTGACAAACACTGACATGAAGTTCCCGTACTGCTATCATCACCGTATTTCAATCTGGGACAGCCTTGTTTTCCCAAGCACACTGTAATAGACTCGTGGGTAGTTCTCGAGGAGATAATCCAGCGTTCTTTTTTATCGAAAAAGTGTGTAAAGCAAAGTTTACTTTACGACGGCTGGCTTCTTGCAGAAAAGATCCATGCACCTCTGTTAGCTGGTAAGATTTTATAAGCGTTGAGTCATGCAGTAGACCCCGTCCACCCACTAAGGAGTTGCTATCTTCGCATGCCGCACACCTGTTAAATGATGCTTTACATCTTGATTACCAACCTGTGGTAGATCGCCCGTCGAGTGGAGTAAAAGGTCCAGGCACGAAATTTTAACTGCTCTGTTCTTAAAGGTAAAACATTAAACACGAGGTTCAATGCAAATATAGCGATTATTTGTTGTCCAGAACTATCGTGGCGCCCTGATCATCTTGTTGCCGACAAACAAACATTTCCAGATTGATAGTTTTGCATTTGACTATATACTTTTGGTACAGCTTTTGCCACAGTCGACACATGTGAGATAAGTTTAATATGAAGAAACTGCAACCAAGACCTGCCAGGATAGGTTTGCAAACAAGTTTCGAATCAACCGTACTGGTTTAATCACCGCCATGGCTCATCGAAAGAGACTTTTATGGAAAGAAAGCGAATTGAAGCCCTTATGACATGGAGAGCAATGTGGATAAAGTAACTAAGCGATGCACCCCACCACGGCCTACCGTGTTATGCTGTTTAGGAATACAACAACACAAGGGAAAAACCCAATAGACCGCTCTAGAACACTTTCAGGGAAAGATATGCATAAGCATGTTTGGTCCCTAATTCAGCAGTGAAAACGTTCTCTTTGGGTTTAATGTTTACAGTTAATGATTTACCAAAAAGGGAACAGTAGTTGAGCCGAGAGAGGGGTAATAAAGTGGAACAACCGATCTGCAAGATGCTAAATTGTCTCATTTAATTTAAACCCCAGGTGAGGACGGTGCTCTTATAGAGGCATTATTTTCCATCATATTCTTTAAAAGCAAGCTCAGTGTTCAATATCTCGCAACTAGGCTCTTAACTCGACTGTTCTAATAATACTATAAGTGCTTATTGTGTTTCACTCAGAAGTAAAGAAATTGTGAAAACCTATCGCGGGTTACAAAACTCATCGGTGTGTATTCCCTGAAGCATATGATTTGCAGCCAAATTAGAGGTTCAACTACGAAATATTTCGCCTTTCTAACAGTAGTGTGTAAGAAACCAACCGACAGTGATCCACGACCTCATCAACAACAACGTGGTTCTTATCATACGGTTAATGGAATCATTGTCCATCACTTATCGCTCAGTACATTCTGTGAACCACTATTGACCGTACATGGTAACAATTAAAGAGGTGACAATGGATGACTTACTGCGTATAATAATGGTGCGAATAAATTTTGATTATGTATGGAAATATGAAAGACTTGATTGGCTAAATGAACATAAAATCGAAGACAAATAGTTCCTTAATTTTCAATTATGATAATTTTAATGATTTACCTGAGATGCGCTAATGACACTTCTTGATGAAATCATTGGTTTCCAATCCATTGATATCCCTTTTGGAATATAACCAAACAGCCTACGCACATGGCAACAACGGTGGATACTGATCATGTTTATTTGGTTACCTCATTTCCAGTTCCATCAGTCTAGCGCACGCTACTTGCTCATCTCGACCCAGGAGCTTCTGCTCACGATCCTGTTTTCATTCTTCCAGTCGCCCATACGCATAAGTTTTTTTCTGTGCATCGCCTCTGCTCATTCTCGTATGAGGCACCAACTTTCAATTGTCTTTCAATTCAGTTCAACTATCTCCGAGTACGAGACATGCAATTCAAACTGCCTTTGTATTTTCGGTTCCTTCACAGCTCCTGTGATAACTTATGCCAGTGGAAAAGATCAGACTATCAATTTGAATGGCGTATCCGGTGAGTCGCTAGTCTGAATTTCGTCGATATATATAGCAAGCATAGTACAAACGCAACAACAACAATAATAACGCAAGGTAGGGGATTGGGGTACAGAACTGAATGACGTGGAAAGGGAACAATTACAATGGATTAAGATAACAAGAATAAAAATGTTTGTTTCACCGTATGATGTGTTTTGTGTGTGTTCGCTCATCGTTTTTATGAAGCACGGGATCTCAACAGGCAGACCTTACCTCACTCGCGCCATTAAATTCTATTCTGGGCCATATATCGGCGTCTCTAACCAACAACAGTAGTCATCCCTTGGACCCAAACTCAGAAGGCTGGCTGCGCCAACCGAAGGCAATACTGGAGCTGAACTCTTACAGCTACACCGTGTCATATTTTGACCACCGCGATGTTTCTAGCTTTTTTTCAGCACGTACAAAGAGAGTACAGAGAGGTGGACGATTGACAGGCATATGCCAAACGTGGCCGAGCGATCGGACGCGGTGTAATGGATTTGAGTAAGCACTTAGCACTTGAATGGTGCAAGGTGCATACCATACGTGGATACCTTAATCTCCAACAGGGTTAAAGCGTGTTGGAGAACCTATGCATAGTCGCCCTACAAGGCGATACCATTAGCATATTTCAAGTCCGGAATTCTAGTTTCTGGGAGAGTTCAATTCCAACGTTTTCTAGACTGGACAACACATTCTGTAGAACATCCTCTATGGTAAAGTTGGAGAGAAAGGGGGTTATAGGGCAGCCTAATCGAATTCCACTGGAGATCGCAGAGGGTGGCGAAAGCTGGTCATAGGCCGTAACCCGACCTGAGGTATGACGGTACAACTCTTTGAGGATCGACACTTCGCAGGTACTCCAAAATTTAATCGACAGAGTCGAAGGCCGCGTGATCGTTGGTCTTTGGTAGGCATGACAATGCTCTAGCATTTATTCGGAGGGTGAAGATTTGATGGATACATCCACGACCGGTGCGGAACACAGTCTGCTCCTCGCGGGTCTGCTTTTCACGCATGTTGTACCATCTACGGAGAATGATGGACGCCAACTGCTTTGACGCCATTGGGATGAGGCTTATACCCCTCTGATTGGCACGGTCTTTGCACAGGCTCTTTTTAAAGTTGGAGACGACATGAATTCCCCGCCAAAGGAGGGAACCTGCTCAGTGTTCCAAATTTCAGAGAACAGTGCCTTTGACAATTCATTACAGAAAGAAATATAATGATCGATTATCGTCGCGAGCTATCAAGTGCGTTTGCTCCGTGGTGGGCGAAACAAAATGAAAAAATTAAAATAACAGCTCTTTCCGAACAGTCCCATCGCGTTTTATACGAGATGCGAAAAAGTATTTCAGCAGTAATTTGTTTTACCATTGATCCGTTGATAATTGTTTTCTGTGTTGTCAGCTTTTTTCATGTTCTCTATTGAAATAATACATCATTACGCAAAATTTTCCAGTAGTTGCAAGTAAAATTCCAATCCTCGTTAGAATAAATGTATTATTCTTTTATTCTTCTCCTAGATACTGTCCCAAGCGTTTCAGGTACATCATCCGCTCTACCAATCAAAGTACAGTGTGAGTTATTTTTCTCAAATGCATAAGCTAGCTGTCTCGTTTCTCATTTTTCCTCGGAAAGTGACTTCATAGCATCACAAAACCCATCTTTATCGCTCAGGTAACAATGAAGTTTACTGACGCTAATTTAGCTTCTGACGACTTTTCGGGAGTGCCGAAGTTTGACAAATAACTGGTATTCACGTACTGTTCGCTATGCAATACATCGACTTAAAATGTGAAAAAATTCTTGCTTTCCACCAACCTCAATTGGCTCATTGTATACCCCAACGAAAAGAGAACATCAGAAGCGTAACCCTCCGCAAAACTTCTCTTTGAGAAATGTTTTGAAAAGGGTCGAAACGTTGCTACCAACGCCTTGCGTTTTTTTCGTTTCCCCAATAATCATGAGCTTGACGCCGAAGATTTTTCAGTGAGATCCGTCCCATCCATGGATATCGTGTGGTTTTTAGTGATATTTGTAATTTTCGTGAAGATAGGTACACAGTGTCTCGGCTGTTCAAGTTTGATAAATTAATGTTCACAGTTTTTTGATTAGTTCTGAAAGTACCTTTAGTTCTCTAGGGTGCGTCGGTTTGTCTAGTCATTGTATCATGCACAATATAAAATTTGGTCTGCCATAATCTTCCGATCTATTGGAGTAATTAGTATTTTGTCTTATGCTACCGTTTTTCAGCCTCGTTCTCCGTTTCACGCACTGCTAATGTGTCGGCAGCGACAGCCACGTCCACATCCATTTCACTCCCCTCCCGTAAAAGTGCAGAAGTCGTGGAAATGGCCGGGGAGGTTATTGAGCTAGTGATTGCTCCAGGTAAACAGGCCCGGTCGTCCAACGGTGACCCGATGGTCGTCAGTGACGAGGAGCCACCGTCGGTAGTTCGCATTCTACGATTACCAACCGAAGCGCTTCCAGTCGATTCCTCCAATCGACGGCGCAAAACGAAGCCTGAGGGACGTTCGCCCGAACCATGTTTTGTGTGTCAAGTCAGCACTACCGGACAGCGGTTGGGTATTCCCACTTGTTTGGAATGTGACCGAACATTTTTCCGCATGTTCGTTGTAAGTCATGGTGTTATTCATGTATATTGTTGTCACTATCATCTGCATCTCACGGACGTACTGTATTTTGTATTTTCGCATATAGCGGAGGAAGAAACCAAGATGTGTAGTCAATGCATCTTCCGGTACTGTATATTCCTCAACTGTTACGGTGCTAAACGTTAAACCTAAGGCATCGGTGTAGAATCAGTCAGTGTTCAAATCCGATTGTTTGTGAACATCATCATCATCGTACGGTAAATTACAGTGAAGTGAACTTCACTATCACTGCCCAACTCGCAATGTATACATGGTTAGTGGTGATGTTTAAGGTGGCCAGGAATTGAACCTATTTTGAGGGAGGGGGAAGAAGGTTAACCGCTATGGTTAACACACAGGGTGCACAATCGAACTATGCATAGATACCGTTTCGAGCGTTCCGGCCTGATAAGAAATGACAAGAACGTCCTTTCTGTCGGTTCGCAGTCATG